ATTATTACTTTTTTCCCTTTTTATTTTGTCTAAACACCTTTTATCTCAATCTCGAAACAGATTTTTGTATTGGCTTCAATTGGAAAACCGCCGATCGAAGGCACAAAAAAATGTAAATCTGCAGTTTCAAACGACACTCGAGCTTTGGAAGTCACCAAATTTTGAAGGCCATTTTCTCATTAAATTTACCTCTGACACCAGGCGATTCCCATTTCCATAAACCGCAATTAATATATTTTCCTCTATTTAAGACAGACGGATAATAGTTGGGGTTTTTTTTAAACTATAGCAAGAAAAATGAACCAGCTTTAAATTGTTATCTCAAACCCCATCATCAATTCCAAAAATTGACGAGCGACTGATTCCACCACCTATTCGTGACACAAATAACCTTTCAAGTATAAAGACAAGGGACTCAATGATGCTGCCTCGAATGAGAAGTTTTGTTAAAGTTCACATTGAGAAAAAGTCTTTTTAGGCAGGGTGTGGCCACATCTCTGTCTGCTTTTTAGCCTTATTTATTGAGCTGCAAGTGCCTAAAAACTCTTAATTTTTTTAAACTACCTGGACAATCAATGCGTCGGTAAGCTGTTCAAATGTCCAAAGCCCAGAAATCAATAATAATATATTTTCCGGAGAGAGGAAAAAACTATTTCATACTTTTATTAATCGTGCGAATTTTTTAAGAACCGTTTCTTGTCAATCTAAAGATGTAAAATATGAATTCTGACACAATATTAATTGAGAACACGCAACCAATACAACAAAATAAGAAATTTTTGTTATGGGGCTTTTAACAGATGGTCGAAGATAGGTTCTTTACAGAGCATCCAGGTAGAAAAAGGAGTAGCGTAACATGATCATCGTTTGCTTCCAATCTAGATCTTGATGATGACGAAGTGTAAAATTGAATCAGGGAAAATGTCTCACACGTGTGGAGCTTTATCAAAAATGAAATGTTGACCCAACAAACCTCTAGCCTTTCAAACTGAAGTGGACATTCGGCCTGGAAGTCGTAGCAACAGTTACCGGCCGGTACGCACGTCGGTCGGCAGGAACACAGCCCCTTGGAGAGGGTTCCACACTGGCCTGTATGGACAGAGAAACTTGGAGACCTTGTTGGACATTCACGTCATAAACACCGTGAGAGAGAGAGAGAGAGAGAGAGAGAGAGAGACTGAGACAGAGAGAGACACAGACAAAGAGAGACAGAGAGGGACAGAGAGAGAGCGAGAGAGATTCAATATAAGAATTTTAGTCATTTCGGGAACCGACTGACCTTAACAGTCCTTTCATGAAATGACAGAAATTTTTTATCATTTCACCAAATGACTGATTTCACAGTCTGACTGCAACATAATATACACCATGAGAAAAGAGACAGAGATTGCACGCGGGCACAGTGGAGTCGCTTTCACTTCACCATCCCCTCACCAACGTCTCACCATTTTGATACACACCAAAGAATGTGAGAGGAGGGAACAGAGTGGAGTCGCTTTCCCCTCCCCTGTTTGAATAATGACAGTCCGAGTGTGCTACAAATGTTGTGATGTCAGTTAAAGTAGAAAAACTTTATACATGTACTAATCCATGAATGTCATTGATCCACCGCGATAGAAAGAGAGGAAAATTAGGGAGCTCCAGAATCTACCTATCACTACAACCAGACAACCAGTTCATGAGCTACAAAGAGTGGAATAGAAATTTGAGAAACATTAAATGAATTGTGAGGCAGCGTGGTGGAATCAGGCTCTCGTCAAAATAATCAAAGTGAAGAAACTTGCTTTTTTCCTTTGGTTTGTGAATTTTCATCAAATTTTTGTTTTTTTGGCTCAACACCTTTCATGCCCATTAAAGAACTCATTTCTGTGTGGATTTTTCTTAAAAACGTTGATTAAAGGCACAAAAAATGTAAATTTCCAGTTATTACGGACTCTTAAGATAAGGAAATAACTCATCTTAGGCAGCCATTTTCTCACTAATTTTTCCTCTGAAAACAGGTGACCCCCACCTCCTTCATTCGTAAATATCTCGACTTGTAATCAAGATAAATGGATTTTTTTTCATCCAAATTAACACAAGTGAACAAGCTTTGCGATGGTACCAATAACTCTACATGCCCAAAAATTGAAGGGAGCCTGATTCCACCACGCTGCCTCACAATTATTTCAATTCGGGAGAAGGATCCGTGTCGTGACAGAATATTATGTGCATTAACACTCAATACGCTTAAGCCCCATTTACCCATACAGTTCATCGATCGACAAACTGTGGGATATTGAAAGAATGGCTGGCATCCTGTCAACTTCACGGTAAAACTGAGTGTGGAAACGATGGCGACAGATATTTTCCGGCCGGCGAACTGAAGGCATGACGACAAGGGAGCGGCTTCTTTGATGTTGCCCAAGACGGAGTTGAAAATAAATGCGTTCCAAAATGTTCCCAAATATTGGCAAAATTTGAAAAATTATGAGATTTTCGTTATCAATGACCCAAATTAGTTAGGAGTTGTTTTTTAAATCACTCGGCGAACGCAATTTAATACCGGATTACCAAATTAAATTCTCTTTATATGACTGACACTGTAAGGATTTTAAAAAACTGTACATCTAAACGGAACTTCTCTCTTCGACAAATGGTCAGTTCAACGATGACCCAGATCTAGCGTGGCCTTTAGATTTGCTGCATTTTGAGCAGTTGCCGTATTGCCCAGATATGTATCAACGTGGTCCATGTTCATATTTCAACGTTAATGCAAGCAGCAACCGACAACATTGACAGCATTATTTCTGCGAGAGTGTGTCTGTTGTGTGAGTGTGTGTGTGTGTGTGTGTGTGTGTGTGTGTGTGTGTGTGTGTGTGTGTGTTGTGTGTGTGTGTGTGTGTGCGTTGTGTTGTGTGTGTATGTGTGTGTGTGTGTTGTGTTGTGTTGTGTTGTGTGTCTGGGTGTACGTGTGTGTGTGTGTTGTGTTGTGTGTGTGTATGTGTGCGTGTGTATTTGTTGTGTGTGAGTGTGTGTGTGTGTGTGTGTGTGTGTGTGTGTGTGTGTGTGTGTGTGTGTGCACGTTGTGAGTGCGTATGCGTGTCCTAGGGTTGGAATTTGTCTTGTCATAAAGACCTTATCTTTTTAGGACAGCAGCAATTAAAACCTCACGTTCCATGTTCACTGATACACCTTTGTGTGGCTACTGGTGAGTCAAGTTTACTGCATTTTTAGTGCAGCGTGGTCGAATCAGGCTCTCGTCAATTTTTTGGCATATTGAGTTATTGTTATCGTCTTAAAGCTTGTTCATTTGTCTTACTTTCAAAGAAAAAATTACCCATCCATCTTTAATAGAAGTGGAGATATTTTGGAATGAAGGAGGCGGGGGTCACCTGGTTTAAGAGGTACAATCTATGAGAAAATGGTCGCCAAATCTTGGTAAATTCCAAAGCTGGAGAGTCCATGGACACTGTAAATTTCTATTTTCTTTAGCTTTTAATCATCGTTTTCGGTGAAATCCTCAAAGGAATGTGTTTGTAAAAGGACATAAAAGGTGTTGAGCCAAAGAATAAAAATTTGATAAAAAATTGCTAAGCAGGGAGAAAACTGCTGTTTTCTTCGATTTCATTATTTTGACGAGAGCCTGATTCCACCACGCTGCCTCACATTTTTAGTGCAGCACTAAGTTAGCATGCTCAGATGCAAGAAAAGACCAAGGAACTCAACAGCCTATCAAGGAGTGTAGGCCTACGTACACATCCAGGCAAGTCAAAAGTAGCGAAGCTAGGAAAAGTTTCAAACCCCGCTGTGACAGTGGAAGACACTCCCCTTGAAGAAGTGGACTCCTTTACCTACCTTGGAAGTGTCATCGATGATAAAGGTGGAACCGAGGCAGATGTTAAAGCAAGAACCGCCAAGGCAAGGTCAGCCTTCAAGCAACTATCAAAAGTCTGGAAAGCAAGCAACATCTCACTGCGCACCAAGATTCGACTTTTTAACTCCAAAGTCAAGTCTGTGCTCCTCTATGGCTGCGAAACTTGGAAGACAACGAAGACAGTACTGAATAAAGTCCAGACTTTCATCAACAGATGTATGAGGAGTATTCTAAGAATTAAGCGGCAGGATAGAATAAGAAATGAAGAGCTGTGGGAAAGGACAGGACAAAAGGATATAGAAGTAGAAATAGGACTAAGAAAATGGCGATGGATGGGACACACCTTAAGAAAGCCCAGCGGAAACATCACAAGACAGTCACTGCAGTGGAACCCACAAGGAGCACGAGGCAGGGGTAGGCCACGGGAAACATGGAGGAGATGCGTGGAAAGGGAGAAATGAAGCTCACTTGGAACGAGCTTGGAAGGATGGCTCAGGACAGAGATAAATGGAAGGAGCTTGTATGTGGCCTATACCCTGCCAAGGGTGAAAGGCATTGATGATGATGATGACTAAGTTAGCAAGCCCCAACTATTTTGGAGCGAGGTTGGTGTTGGTGCGGGGAGGGTGAGTGGCTGCCAATCTGTCTCATGCAACTGTTGTTACACGAATTAAATTTCAGCGTCGACAAACAGGTAACTGTTTGGTGCTGGTGAAGGGATGATGAAGTGAAAGCGACTCCACTGTGTCCCCGCGCATTCACGCTATAGTGAGCGGCTCTGAGAAAACCCGTCGGAAGGTGCGAGAAGCTATTCTGAGATATCGCTAAAAATAGGCCCTGAACTTTATTTTTATCGAAAACGAAATTATATGAAATTCAGAAAGATAGACCATTTCTACATCTTATGGTTTAAGAAATTTGCTCAAAAGTGATTGAAAATATTTAAAATAATATTTTTGAGGACATATGGTCGCCGTATTACGCTGAATTCTTAGACAAACAGGGGGAATATTTACTCAATCGGATAGACACTTCTTTTCACGGGAACCCTCACATATTATATACCAAAAGAAGAAGAGAATTTTATCGCCGTTTCGGGAAAACCCAGTGCGCATGAATGTGTGAACATACAAATAGTTCTGTGAGTTGCGCATGTTGTAGTTTCACTTCTGAAATGGTATTTGTCATGAATGCAGTTTAACATCTAATGTACCATTTCCTGCCGTTCAAACCAAATATGAACTGTTCGTTATTGACTTTAAGTTCTTTGTTCTGCTCTACGAAGTGGGTTTTTTTCGAGTTTACTGTAAGTAAACTGATTGTTTTCTGTTTCCAAGTGGTCGAGCGCTTTTGTTTACATAATTTAATTGATTTAAGATGGCGGACCGATCAGCTGAGTGGCGTATTTCATAGATGTGGAACGATCTCAGTCGGATTGGAATGAGACAAATCACAGACGAAAATGAATTGGATGAACTGATTATTGATTATTTCAAGGCAAGACCTATTGATTGTGAAGACAGTAGATTCTAGTTTGGAGGAGGAGACACATGATGAACCAATTACGACGACGACCGTGGCCGTGACACCCCCCCCCCCCCC